GAATACATACTCTAGTGATAGTACCTGAATGTCCTTAACCTTTGAAATAACAGATTCCTTCATCATAACCCCATAATTTAACTTCTTTATCTTCTCCTCCAGATACAAAATGTTCTCCTTCCTTTGTAATAGCTAATGCATTAACTTCTCCTTCTTCAGAACCATCTAACATTCTGATAGCTTACCCATCAAATGTTTCCCAATAAGTAACCTATAAATAAATAAATAAATAAAATACTTTTCTATCGCTACCAGTAGTTAATAATTAACTTTCTTCAGGATGATATAGAACCATTTTGAATAAGGTACTTTCAAATAAACACATAACTCTAGTAAATGATTTAAGATCCCATATAATACAAGAACCATCAGCACTAGCACTAACAGCTTATTCATTATTTCTTCTGACTTAAATAGACCATACTCTTCCTCTATGTTCTTTCATAGAAGATTTCATAACTTAAGTTTATTTTCCAATTTCCCAAACTCTAACTTCTCCTTCTGATCCTCCTGATATAATTCTTAAACAATCAGAAGTACAAGTTAAGGATGTACAACCATGTATATGTGCATCATTAATTACATAAAGTAATCTACCTGATTATGGTAAAAATGATCTAATTTTTCCATCACTCCAACCACTTACAATACTTTTACCATCATTCATAAATGAAACTGCCCAACATTCTAGATTAGGAACTTAAATTCTTAATAATTCTTATCTATTTTTAGCATTCCAAACTCTGATATCATTTAATGAACTTGTAGCAAAAACATCTGAATAATTATGAGGAAATGCTACATCATTTATTCTTTCATAATGACATGTGTTTCTTAATTCAGGTATTAATTTTTCAGTATCCAACCAATATATATTACTTTGATTAGTTCCTGCAAAAAAATGAGTTTAATCATTTGTAAATGATATTGATGTAACTCCTCCCAATAATTCACTACTTGCTACTATTTACATTGTTTAATAAGATATCTTTGCTATCATTCCATCTCCAGCACCAACTATTATATCTCCATTCTACAGTAATCCCAAACAATTAACTCCTTATGAAAACAATTTCTTAACTGGTGCTAATCTTTTATAAATTGCCATATCCATTTATATTTCAAATACATCTCCAGTCTTTGTTCCACAATAACAAAATTTATCATTTCTATCAATTGCTACACAATTAAATGTTCTTTTTACATTTCCAAAATTTACATCTACTGATTAAATCTTTATATAATCTATTATCATACTTTTTTATTTTATTTATCTATTGTTAATATTTATACTCCTGTATTTAAAACTGCTATCATTTTCTCATCTGATTAATTGTAAAATTACACTTAATTTACTGGATCTCTATTTGGTGTTCCATACAATGCTTTCCCTCCTTTTATATCCCAAATAATCAACATATTTTTATCATCAATTCCTCCTAATGATGCCAAATATAATTCATTATAAGAAAAACTCAATGATTAAATCAAAACTTTGTGTAATTTCAATCTATGAATCATGCATCTTTCTTTAAAATCCCATATTATTATATCTGCTTAAAAACCCATGTAAGTTTTCTACCCAGATGCAACATAATCTCCACTTCGAGAAACTGTTATTACAGAGATCTAATTATCATGTCCTCTATTTTATAGATTTTATATCCATACCTTAAAAATGTTTATTATCTTGTAATTATATGTCTAACTACAATTGTTGAACCTAATGGATATATAATATGCTTTTTAGCTAATATTTTATTTCATACCTCATTATCTGGATGCAAAACCAATCCTTGAATTATTTTACCTTTTTTATTTATATTATTTATGTACCTGTAAAACCTATCACTGCCTAAATCTCAAGTTCTTATTACATTATTTTATTTATTTACAAATATATATTAATTAATACTAAAAAATAAAACAACTGTTTTTTCATATATAATTTAGAACTTTTTCTATTCTAACTTTCTAACCAATTCATTTAGTCTTAAACTTTAAATCATTTCTCTCTTTAATTACTAAATTTAACAGTATTAATTAACAATCATGATTGATTATGTTCATATTTATAATTTTTAGTATTTAATTATTATGGATATAGAAGAAAAAAAGAATATGCAGTAAAGCGATGGCGATGAAATATTTATTCACATTTAAGACAATGCAAATTAATATATTTAAAAAACAGATGATAAAAGCTAGAACTAAGTTATGATACCCAACTAAGTAATCGATCCCTAACAAAGTAAGTTAAAACCTTTAACTTTCGAATAAATTAAATTGGTTTCATCAACTTAAGTTAGTGGAGATGGACATGTTAAATCTGTAAGAGTTTAATGTCCTTAATGTAAATAAAAGGTATAGAAAACCAGTATATAAGGTTGATACTGTTATTGTGCGCAAAATTGGATCACAAACATATGTTGCCTCTTGCTTGCTTTTATTATGCTCTTTTGGTTTGGTTTGCGTTTCTTGTCTACCATGCATAATTGACGATTGCAAGGATGTGTTACATTCTTGTCCTTAATGCAAGACTCCACTTGGTAAAACTTAATTTACAATTTTGGATTGATAAATCTAATGGTTCACTTTTTATTTTTTAATGGAAAAACCATTTTATAACATTTTCATAAACCCCGTTTTCAGTTTTTCTTTCTTAATACTTAAAATAATAGATCAATTTTAAAAAATATTAATATCCTAAAATATAATATATTTGTATAACTTTATAAAGCATCATAAAATTATTCTCGTTATCTAACATTCATCTCCAAAAGATATTTGTACTTATTTTCAAATCCCTTTACATAAATAAATTACTAAAAAATAAAAATTTTAAATTTAGAAAGAATGTCCCTTACAATCCTACAAAAAAGCCCAAGTGGATTTCTTTATAAATTTTAATACTAAAGACCTTAATATTCGATAGCTAATAAATTGAATTCAAAACTGAATTTCTAAAGTCTTTGTATATACATAACATTTTCATAACTACACATTCCTCAATATTATATATTAAAAATTTGGTTTATCTTTATATTGACTACATGAAATTACTTCTTTTTAAATATTCTTCGTCATATTTTAAATTCATCAGAAAAAAGAAATGAATTTAATTTTCTATTCCAATTAAAATGAATTTAATTCTTATCATTCATGCAAATTACTAATTATTATTAAAAAGGTTTTAATATTGATCAAATCAATCAAAAAAAAAGTGAATAGATTATCTAAATTTTATTTAAAATATCCTTTCTTTATAAAATAAAAAATCATAAAATATCTATGCTGTTTACTTCCTTTTTGTTTTCCAGTTTTTAAATATCTGACTATAATCAAGAAAATTTTTCTTTTTTATTCCTCAGAAATCAAAAATTTTTATAACTTCATTGAATATGTTTCATAAATTTTTTTATTTCTTTTAATGAAATAAATAATAACAAAAATGAATTAAAATTTAATTCAATTCAAATAAAAAACAAAAACTAAACAGTCAATTAATAATAAAACTTCTTCTTTATCAAGGGCTGATAAGCTTGTGCATGTCAACATCAGTTATAGTCTAACGATATCGAATAGTAGATTAGGAATTAATCATTGAAATCATTTATCTATTTATATTATTTTTTATTTACTTTTAATGTCCTATTTAAACTTTTGATATTTAAATTAAATGACAGCGTAATTTTGCAAAATTGTTTCTTCTTCGTTATTCTAAGTAATTTAATTTTTTAAGTTGATTATTCAAATAAATAGTCAGAAAACAATTAGCTTTTATGCATCTCAACAATTTATGAAAATAATCAATAAGAGGAACTTTATATTTCTTAAAGTAAACTCTAAAAATATTTGTAATGAAAGGATAACATAATCTACAACATAAAATAACAATAAAAATTTAAAGTATAACTGATAAGACTTAATCATTTTCCTTTTCTGATACATATTTTGCTGCTGCAATAAATATAGAAATTGAACAAATTTATCCTGTTTATATATCTAAAAAATTCAAACTTGATATTATATAAGGTTTTTGTTTAACTGCTAATAATTAGTAAAAAAGCAAGCATAATCCAAGCAGAGAGGCTCTTAATAATACATTACTTTCAAAATAGGTTAATATTATTATAATAATTGTTTTTTTTGATAGTTTAATTTATTCCCAATAATAGCTTTCTGTATTATATTCATTAAATAGGTAACAAATATGTCTTCTTAGTTTTATTTTATCCAGTTGATCTCTATTAATATCCATAACAAAAAATAGAGAAAATGGAATTAATAGACCAATCATTCCAAGGCTTGGAATAACAAATCCTATTATCCAAGAGAAATGTTCAGTAGTTCCATAAATCAGAGATACATCTCCTTAAATGTAAAAAATCTTTGAAATTTCTCTTTTAGATACTATTGAACACAATCTAAATAATTAATAATTATATAAATATACTATTTTATTAAAGCTGCATAATTTGATACATATAAATATAATAATGTATTCGAAATGATACTTCTATTTAAACTCTTTTTTTTGCATTATGCATGAATTGTGAATCCAGCCCAAATTAGCAATAATTGAATAAGTATCAAAATTAGCATAGCTATTATTCTAATGTAGATTAGCTCATAATTTTGAAGTTGAGATAAATAGCAATCTAAATTATTAGCCATAAAAAAAGAAGCATTGCTTGTTAACTCAATAAAATTTAATGAAAATGAAAAATTTATGTTAAAAGTAAAGACAACTGAAAATATCCATAAATAATTCAAAAGCATTTTAATAAGAATACTTTCATGATCTTAAATAAATCTACTTTAATACCTTAATCTAATTTAAATATGATTTTACTAAATTTTTATCTAATTTTAAGTGATGAGAATAATCTATTAGATTTTTCAATACTTCTTAAAGTTATTAAGATGGAAAACAATGCCCTATCATAAGTTAATTAATTACCATAATGAAGTTAATAAAAACGGTAATATACTATCTTAAATTCGATTACATCCTAAACATTAAAAATTCTATAAATTTTTAAAAAACATTCCATCTCCTCTAAAATCAAAATTATCACATTCTTCACATAAACCTCCAAAATGACCTTTACTACATAGACTATTTCCAACCTCCCAACCACCTGTACAAAATTTAGGATTTTTTATACAACTTTCTGTATAATCTGAAAATTAATCTGGTCTCCAATATCCTTCGTATAGTTTAATTTTATTTGATGTTATATTTTCAAATTTTTCTTTATCAAAAATTGAACATTTTGTTGCATTATAAGTTACCGAATAGAATCCTTAATTTGATTAGCAAACTTAGCATCCTTTATCTATATAAAACTCTCCTAACTAACATTTTAAAGTTTTAGCATAAATATAATATTTTAATGGTACTTCATTTGATTCAGACATACAATTTAATTCAATTTATAATATTCTATTATCTTAATAGTATGGATCAAATCCAAAAGAAAGAGAACTTAAATCAAAAACCTTAGAATCCATATCAAACATAAGGTTTTAATGTATTTTCTCTTCTGATTCTATACTTTTATTTTCATAATGTATTGTTGCAACTATTAAACAAGATGGATTTGTAAGATTCTCTAAATTCTCATTATAACCATTTTTAAAATTTATTGATATCATCTCTAAATAACTTTTAAAAACTTAATATTTTGGCACATAAATCTTATAACTATTAATCTTTTAATTACTTGGAATCATCAACCATTGTGCTTTTTAGATAAATCCTTATTCTATAATGTTATATGGTTGTATTATTGAAACTAACATGTTTTAGTTATCAAGTTATAATTATTATGATTACATTTCCATTTAATTTATAAAAACACTTAAATGGGTTGGCTCTTCAACTAAATTATTTGCATAACTTTCTGCAGTATTAAAAAGTAAATAAGATTATTAAAAGTTTTCTGAGTTTAAATTATTATATTTCTCTAAAAACATGCCACCTCCTACTTTAGCCTAATTTGACATCAAAATAGATTCTTCAATTTTAAATCCATTTTTTTCAATATTTAAATATATGCCACCTCCTGCTTTGCCTGCATAATTTTCAAGAATTTTGCTTTTGCTTATTAAAAGTTGAATGTTCTCAACTTAGATAGCCGTACCTTAGCTGCCATAATTTTAAATAAAAACAGAATCATATACCATAACTTTTTATTTAATATTATAAGCACCAGCATTAAAGTATAAGCATCCATATTCTTTTATTTTGTTGTTACTGCATTAAAATTCATTAATTCTTACAAACTTAAAATCAGTAAGCACAAAATAAATTAATCCTTTAGTATAATTTTAACAATTATTCTATAATAATTTTACTTAATTTAATATTAATTTTAATTTACTATTTTAGCTTGATATTTAAATAAGTGAATGATTTGAATTTAGAGATAAATTCAACAATAGTTACATGTTTTTGATTATTTCAATTTTACTGTCTAATATAGTATTTTCAGATTATTTTTAGAGTTAACATCCAATCACTTTAAAGTCTGTTGCCTTTTATACTTATTATTATTCAGAATTTAATTCTTTTATTGAAAAGCGATCAATTTATATTTTCTCAAATATAACTACTGAATTTTAGTAATGATTTAATAAAATTAATTATAAAGGATAGTAGGTTTAAACTTCATTTATATAACAATCTCTAATTTCTAATTTAATTGTATTTATCATTTTAAAAATAGGAGAGAAGATTATTCCTTGAATAAAAAATTGATTTATAGAGATCGTACCTCCAACAATATTAAATAATGAATTATCAGTTATAATTTAAGAAATTTCTGTTTAGCTGAGCTAACTAAATTTTGATAGATATGTCATCAATTAAAATTCATCAAAAATAACTGTGATATTTTTTATTTATACTTCATTTAAATTATTAAATGCTGAAAATTAGATTGAAACAATTTAATTTAAGAATGAAAAACAATTTATTATCTACAAATTTTGTAATAATATTTTATTTTATCTTTAAGATGGATTGATTGATAATATTGCTGTAGCCATTCCATTTTAAACATTTTAAAAATTAAAATTTTCAAATTCTAAATTTAAATTACTATTTTAAGAATTAATATTCACACTACCAAAATTATCATTTCTATCTCTTTTTGTGCTTATTATTTAATTACTTGATATATTTAAAAATTTAACAAATCCTAACCCTAGAGTTTTAATTTCAAAGATTGCGCTTGTAAATGCCATAATATTTTAAAAAATTGAATTTTTGCATTAAAAATTTTATGAAAATACTTTAGCAGCACCTCCTTTAACATAAATTGGATATATCTGCTAAATAATTTAGTTAATCTAATCTTAATTAAATTGTTCATCAATTTGTAAGCTATAAAATTAACTCCATAATTATTATTTAATTATATTATGATAAATAATTACAAAATTATTTAGCAAAATGGATTGAGAAATAAGATAAAGAAAAGAGGCTGATGAATTTGTTATAGCATTTTCTTGGCAATATATATTGTTTATCTAAATCTCACCTTATATAGAATAAATATACATTAAACCAGCAAAGTTTTCATTTGGATCATCTTAATACTAATGATAGAAATTACTGTTAAATTAGATATTGTTTATTTTTATAAATTATTTCTTTTCAGAATGTATACTTATGAGTGATGACATACCTTATTCATTCTTTTATATAATGTTCCGTTTAAAAATAATATCAGTTATATCAATATTTTCTTAAATATTGTCTTAAAATCTATTTGTTGAAGTTATTTGAACAATACTAGAATCCAATAATTCTTAATTATCAATTTCAATTTAATGTAATTTTAATTAAATAAATCCTTAAATTCGAAGAAGCTAATTTTATAAATAAATTAATTATCTACAGTACTAAGAAAATTCAACTTTTCGCTTTTCTAAGTTTTAAGAAACTTTCAAATTTTCAATTATAATCTCATCACTTTCATAAAAAAATAAAGTTGGAAGGTTCTAAGTATTTATAATTTATGTATATTATATTTTGCATTAAGATGAATGACTAATTGTAAATATATAGTGTTAATTATTAAAATTGTTTAATTTGATTATATTTTCTAGATATAAATTGCTCATTTATATTATCAAATTATTAAAATAAGAGTTTTAAGATAATTAAATTAAATTTGAATCCTAGGATGTTAAATTTTCAATTTTGAGATTATCTAACTTAAATTGAAAATATTCTGTAATATTTATTACATGTGTTTATATTAAATTTGAGATTTCTAAATAATTCTACTTGATTTACATGTCATTTATTGATGTATTATAACTAAAAGTTAAAAAGCTAGAATTATATAAAGAATTTCCAAAAAGAAAGATATTTTTAATGTCCAATTTAACTTAACCAATAAAATAGAATAATTATGATTGAGTTAGTTTACAGTTTTTTACAATTATAGTTGATATTTCAGATATGTTTTTTAGGGATAAATTTTATTGAATGCTAAAAATAGAAGAATTAATGAATATGCAGTTTTCGATTTATAAATTGTTAATGTAAACTGATAGTTTACTGTTTATAATCTTAAATAGATCAGAGTTCAAAAATGTTGAATTTAAAATTATTAATGTTTCTATATGTAGGTATCCTTTAAATTCTTAAGAGACTAAAAATAAGAATGAAGATTCAGAGAATATGACATTTCTAATTGTAATGTTTACTAATTCAATGTTATCAAATAATTTTGAATTAAGAAACTGATTAATTTAAAATAAATGATTTCCAGGAAATTATATATTTTTCATTGAAAATTTGAGTTTAGTATCGCTTACCATTTATATTGATTAGTTATCTAATAAAATTGATAAACTAGACATTTCAATTGAATCAAAATTTTGAATTAGATATTCATACAGATTTTTAATGAATATGGTTTAATTGCCCTTAATTATTAAATCAGTAGTTTTTAAGGAAAATATACTTTATTTAAGTTATATCGAATTAATTATAATACCACTAAGACATATAACAGAGTTTCCTTCTGGATAATTAAGTTAAATAGTAATTTTTTTGATTCCAACTTAGTTAAAGTAATTTAAATTGATTTTATTAAGTATTGAATCTAATAAAATTTCTTCATGTCTACAATATTAATTGTTGTGTTCAAATAATAATTAATTTTAACAAGATTTATCTAAACAATAAATAGGAATAAATTAATGAGTTGAAATAATAATATTTGGATCTTTAACAGGGACATAGCATTTTTTGGTAAATGATTGATTATCTTCAGTTGATAAAAATGAGGATTAGACTTACTAAATGATATTTATAAATAAAATACATTAATTTCAGCTATGTTTCTGGTTTGGCAATAAGAACAAAGAGGTGAACATTTTAAACAGGTTCCATTTTCTTAATTTCTTTAAGGTTCTTTAAAATAATTTAATGGGCATTGATAACAAAAATATTTAAGACCTAATTGATTTAATTAGCACTCTTAACAATTTGGATTGCAATATTGAGCACAATATCTCATTTAAATTAATTAATATCCATCCTTACATGTTATAGCTATTTCATCAATTTAATAAGTTTATTAAGGCATTAAATAAAAGTATTAATTTGGTAAAAATGATCCCATAAAGCTTTGTATCCTTTATACCCATACATCTTTAGAATTAATATTTCCTTCTATACTAATAATAGAATATGGTCTTTTGCTAATATTACATTAACCATTTACTTCTATGGTTGAGCTAGTATAACCTTCTTTACAAATGATACATTTCAATACAGATTATACAGTAAGAAAACATTAAATACAATTAGATATTAATTTTTCGCAGTTGAAAATTTCTCTTGAGATTGTAAAATCTTATTTTGAAGATAATGTGCATTTTTCTATACCTTCAAGATTAATATAACTTCGAATACAAGACTCTATATTGGAACTTTGCTTTTAACATAATCCAATTTAAAAATCAAAAATGTATTCATCTTCGCACATTGCACATCCAACTTTTAGATTTTCATCACCACTAAATTTTTAGAAGTTTTTATAAAGTGTAGATAATGTTAAGTCATCTGATACATAATCAAAACAATAAATACAATGATCAATTGTACATCTTGTACATTCCTTACTATAAGTTATGTAATTAGGTGATAAACAATTGTTTTACTCTTATTTTCCCAATGTTTGATAAATACATTTACCATTTTATAATTACCCTGCATTAAAACATGTTAAGCAAACTTCACCTGTCATTAAAACAGCACAAGTTAAACAATTATTAATACATCTATAACATTAATCAGAAGGAATTTCATTTATACAAAACTATTTAAATGATTACACTTTTAATAAAAAATCTAAGTTTATATTTTATTCATCTGTTAAACTCAATTCTTCACATTCTGAGCATAATTCAAGATCCAATCCATTAAAAGTAAAATATTGTTTTAGATAATAGTTTTTATCTAATTCAGATGTGCTTCCATCTTTTTTTAAGAATAAATCTGTTTAACAAATAGGATTCTTCTACCAATCTTTTGGATTTAATAAACATTCTAAACAAGCTTTCGTTTCTGAATTTATTTATCCAGGGCTTAAATAATATTATTAATATTACCATTAATAACAAATACCGTTGAGTTCAAAGTATCCATAAATGCAATCATCATTTTATTCTATATTTGATATCAACTTAAAATTAAAATCTGAATAATCCATACACTTATCTTCACTATCTATTCTATTATAAGGACAAATGCATTATTTATATTCTGGAATATATATTCTTTTAGATTCTTCTGAACATGATAAACAATCTTAATAAGTAGGACCATCACATTCTCCACAACTTTTATGACAATTTTTTTATTAAAAATTTTCATTGCAGTTGAAAAAGTATAGATTTCTACCTATTATGTTAAGATAATTTGTTTATTATAAAAAATTACCTAAAAACAACTTATAATATATTGAATGAAATTATTTAACAACTAATTATGCCGTATATTCAAATACTTGTTATTTTTCATAAAATTTTATGATAATATCTAACTTATCTTCAATTAATCTTACATATAGAAGATGCCATAAAGATATATTATTATTAATATAAAATTCTTAGTTGATTAGAAAAGGGTCATTCGTAAAATCTAATGTAACTGAAGGAAAAGTATAGCTATAAGTAGTTAGAACTACTCTATTAGTATCTTTTGATAGTTTATAAAATAATTATAATGGAGATAAGTTTTAATTTTAGAGCTAGCTATTTTACATATTTGAACTCAACTTAATAAATTAAAAAGTCATTTCCTAATCTGTTTTGATTATTTCATTAATCTTAAACCATCCAGAAAAAATAAAAGAATTACAATTAGCAAATTTCGAAGTATAAATTAATGTATTTAATTCATAGAAATCTGAATCAACTAATGTTTTTACTGGATTACTTTAACATCTACATACCTTTTGAGATTTTGCTAAAGAATTTGCAGCTAGGGCAAAATTTTTAATATTGTTATCACTGAAAATTGGCATTATCTTTCCAGGAAATGTAGCAAATATATCTCCTTTACTAATATCGATTATTTTTGAATCTTCAACTATCAAATCACCTCCAATTTTTTGTAGTAAACTTAAGTCTTCGAAGGGTAGAATATTCAAAATTTCATCCTTTATTATTTGTTCATTTTTTATAAATATTATCTAAAACTTTTTGTTGTATAGAAAATAGATGAAATCAAAATAATACCATTAATTTTCATATTCAAAATTATTTATGTTCATTTCAAAACTATATTACAATTTATCACTTCCTATAAATTTAATTATTTTTTGAATTTTCATTTCTATAGGATTTTAACAATCGTAATGTAAAAAGTTTAAATTTTTGGATTTCTTATCCACGGAACTAAATAAATGATAACAATTGCTATCAAGTATTCCAATTTTTTAAGCATTTATTGTTGGACTCAAGGGAAGGTATTAAAACCATGCACTCCATCTGTATACAATACCTTCTTCATTTTTTGCTTCAATGATTGAAAATTCTTCTATTAAAAATGGCTTATCTTGATTCAATACAGAAATGTAATCAGTAAATGCAGTTTTCATATAAATGGATAGAATTATGATAGATATCATTACTAAAATTAAAAAAAATATTTATGAATTTTTCATTAATAATCATGTTAATATGATTGAATTTTATTAAATAATATTTTTAAGAATTCAAATCACAAACTAAAAAGAATTTTGTTTATATTTTATTTAAAGGTTTAAAAATTATTTTTGATTTAATATATTTAAGATAAATGTATTTTTAACTTCTAATAATCACAATACTCTTCACATGTAAGCTGAACTTGTAAATATAATTTCTTGTATATTATTGATTGAAAATTTAAAAAAAAATTACAATAATAAAATCATTCAATCTGGAAAAAAAAAAAATTGATTTCATGTTGAATATATTTGAAAATAAGAGTGAAGAAAATATGATACTTGTAAGTTTCCATTTTTCAAGATAACTAATGATCTGAAGTTTATGAGTTTAGAGAATTAATTAATATTGTAAATTAATAATTAATAATAATAATAAAATTATAAGTTAATTTATTCTTATATATTTGACATAAGACTTTCACAACAGGAAATTAATCTAAATAAGACTTATATTCTTAGTATTGATGTTGCTTTTACAATAATTTTATATCTAAATTATCAATTTAGGAAATAATATATTTTAAATTTATGAAATTCAAAATAAGATTGTGCTTGAGATATAGAAGATATTTTTGATAAATAATCTTGTTATGAATTGACTCATTTTACGTTTTTGATAAATTCTCAATACAAATGATTTTATTTGATATTTATTGTAATTTATATTCTAGCTATAGATAATACTAAAAAGGCTTAACCTACTAAAATTTAATCAAACTTATATTCGTAACAAAAATAGTTTTGAATTACTGTGTGAGATTCCTCATTAAATAGATAACTTAAATTTTCGAATAATATTATGAAAGAAAATGAATTATTCTGCCAATTTATTAAAATATTTTGAAACATTTCAGCTTTAAAAAGCTATTGCTGGCATATTTTAATTCTAAAATATTGCTCTAATGTTCTTATTTAAATGCATATGATTTAAATATATAATTAATAAATTATGTAATAATTTCATTATTTTGTTTATTTTGTTATTTCAGAATTTAACATAATTTTTGTGTAATTATTTTTAATGTCTAAGATGTAAATTCTATTTATAATTTCTAAAATATTAATTATAAGTGATTATAATAATTCCTAAATATTGTTATATATTTTTTTTATATAGATTTATCATAATTTCATTCTCAAATTTGGTTCTATAATTCTAATTATTCCATCTTGACCTCTAATAACTAAGTCTCCATCTTTGTTTAACTCTTCCACTATTCCAGTTTATATTATTTGTAAAGTTTTAGAATTAACAAATTCACAAAATTAACCTTTCCTGTATAAAACTTAATTGATTCCAATTCTAAATATTTCAAAACCTTATTCATTTAATGTATATAAAGTTTGAATAACCCTTTCTTTTACCTTCAAAAATAATTCTTCTTAATCTATTTTCTTGCCTAGTATCTACTCAAGACATGTTGCATCTTCGATACACCAATCAATATTAAGTCCAATCCCTATATATAAAACTAGTTGATCTCCAATTTATTCTGATTCTGTGAGAATTCCACCTGATTTTTTTGAGTTTAATAATATGTCATTGACCCATTTTAATTCTGCATCCACATTGTAGAGTTCTTTGTAGATTTATACAATTGTATATCCAATAACAAGAGTAACATTCTTTTAATACTATATATTAGTAAAATAAGGAAAGATTATGGTAGTTAAAATGTTCCTTTTTGATTGACATTCCCATTTTCTATCATATTAACCTTTGCCTGCAATCTGATGAACAGCTCTTAGAAAAGTTATCTAACCCTTATATTTGTTCTCATATTCTAATTTAGCATGAGTTTAAGTAGAATCTATTTCCTCGAATTAGATATCAACGATTTTATGTATGTCTTTAACTTGAAATTTCGATTTGAAAAAAAAGTATATTCCATATAATTTGCATCTCATAGTAATAATATTTAAGAAAATTTATTAAATAAAGATTCAAAATATGTGGAAGGGTTTAATTAGTTTATTTATATAATAATTAACTGTGTTATGCTTAAGGATATAACAAAACAGATTCACAATGATTTATAAGAAGTTTTAACTAAGTTATATTTAATTGATTGGATTGCAATCGTAATTTAAAACTAAAGCCATGATTTTAAATACTATACTAGAGATTTTAAGCAATTTTATTTATACTGTTAACAATCCCAAGACAAATAAGAATTCATTCTCTTGATTGTTTATTATTTCTAATGTAATTTTAAAAGTTATTGATTTAAGAAATTTAACTTTAATTTGTTCAAACTAGGTTGATTAATAAAATTTTTTAAACATAATTTATCTTTAATGCTTTTATTAAAAATTTATTTTATTCTTTTTAATTTTTCCTCAAAAAAGGAATAATTAAAGAGAAAACTAATTAATTAGAAAGTGAGAAATCATATATATTGTTTATATAATCTACCTCTTCAAAGATTAATTAATTCATAATTTAATTAAATAATATAAATATCAGTTAGAAAAAAGTCTCTTTGAGGCTTTCGACTGACAAAATGTAACTCTTAATTAACCGCAACAAACAAAACATAAATTTGAGTAATGGTCTTGCAAGACCAAATTTTATACTAAAAGATGTTCAATTTCTCAAAAAAGTCTTGTGCATACGCTTGGGTTGATCAAAAATAACACATTTGAAGATATCTACTGAATACTTTAATTGGAGTTGTCTAAATAATTGAATCTCTCAAATTTGCTTTTTGGTTATACTTCTAAATAATTTATAAAAAATCATCCAGAGACCTAATTTTAAATCATTCAAGATATTTGAACTAAAATTGTACCTAATGTTTGAGCTTACCAATAGAAATAGCTTAAACGCATCAATTTTGGGGTAAAATTATAAAAAGGACCCTTAAAGGTCATTTTTTTACTCCTTTTTCGAGCATTTAAATTTTTTTTAGTATTAAATTTTGAATTTGAAGACCTTTACAAATGATTATAAAAAATATCCACTGTTAATTTTTTATTAATTAATTTTTATCACAAATTATAAATTAATAATATATAATCTTTATTATTAACGAAAACTTACAATTATTTTATATAAAACCTTAAATTTCTAAATTTCTTCATTCATTCTAAGATTTCTGATCAATTTTTAAAAAACTTTGATTTTTACACTGAAATAATAATGAAATTGTTATTTTGATTAGATAAATATATTAATTGTGACTATTTCTCGATTTATCCAAAGCCTTAAATTTTTGATAATATTCTTAAAAGAAGGATTTATAAAAGTTTTAATTTCAATCAAAAAAGATTACGAAATGTAATATAAAAAATAGATATGAAAAAAGATTATCATTTTATTTATTCCAAATTGTCATTCTCAAATAATTTTTAAATGAACTTTTTTAGAATATCTATATTTTCTAAGGCTGATAACTGGATTTTAATTATTTTAATAGATGAAAGAAATAAACAATAATAGCTTTTTTTGTATTCTTTGTAATTTAGAAGAGTTTTATTTTTCGACATAAATAATGTATTCTCAGTTTTCAATATTTGTAAAGAGTAAATTAAGAAAAAAGTCGCCAATATTTATGCGACATTAAATTTAAAAACACAGTCTAAATATTAAAAATTTAGTTCTAGATTCTAATGACCAAAAAAGAATCAAATCAAAACTAGATTTTCGATGAATTTCTCCAAATACTTTTCTTCGATTCTGCGAAAATTTAGAACTTTTTATTGTGTTTCTAAAAGTAAATTATTCAAATTGATTACAGAAATAAAAAAGGTTCAGAAATTAAGGATTTCCTCAATAAAAGATTATCATTAGTAAAAAAGACATATAAGAGAAAGTTTAACAAAAATTCTAATTAGTATTGTTCTTTTTGATTAGGTTATATAAATTAATCAAAAAAAGTCAAATTGGTGGAAATCGAAAGAAATCCTTTAATATTTTTGGAGAAACCTAATTAGCATTATTGAAGAAAGCTTTTCATATAAATTACAAACTAATTCATAAATTAAATTTATTTTATTTTTTTTATTATAAATATTAATAAAATGATTTTATATTTAATTTCATTAATATTTCTCTTGCTGAAATTTATTTTTCAGTTACCATAATTTTTCTCACTTCTAAATTTTACAATTAAATATTAAGTTTTACATTTTTTAATATGTTTCAAATATATTACCAATTTTTTTCATTTCATCCCATTGACCAATTTTTTTGCCATTTTTATTATATTGACCAAATAATATGCTTTAGCAATCCCTGATCAATTATAATAAATTTAAGAAACCTCCAAAATCCTTCAGTTAACTCAATCCATCTTCCTATCTTTACGTTTTCTTTTTAGTCGTCATATAATCCTCCTCCTCTATATTAATATAAACATAATTACATTTATTAATTTATCTATGAATTGGCATCATTATTATAAATATCCCAAATTCCAACTTTTTTTCCATTTATATATTCTCCAAAATAAAATACTTATCTTGAACTAAAATATATTTGAAAATATTATCGATTCAAATACTCTCCAAATTTATCATCTAATTCAATCCATTTTCCTATTTTTTTTCCATCTTAATCATCATATAAACCACCACCACTATTATTTTAAGTTTGAAGATAATGAATTTTTACATTTATTCTCCTTTAAAGATTGTAAGCCATTTACCAACTTTTTTACCATTTTTATATTCACCTTTGAAAATGGCTTAATTATACCTAAAATATTAAAATAATTGAGTTAAATCTGATGAAATAATTTACATCCAAAACCCTTCGTTCGGCTCAACCCAATTTCCTATTTTGCCCTTAATTTCTTTGCTATCATAAATTCCTCCCCCACTAATTTAGTAAACATCTTACATTATTTAATTTTACTTTGTATCATCATTCTTAAAATAAATATCCCATCTTCCTACTTTTATACCATTTTAATATTCACCAACATAACTCACTTAGCTTACGCTTGGATAATAATTAAATCTAATTAAATACTCCCTAAAGCGATTAGATAAATCTATCCATTTTCCTTTTTTATAATTATTTCCTTAAGAATCATCATATGATCCACCACCACTAAAATAATTTAATTTATTCAAAATATCTTCAAAAAATTTACATTTATTATCCTTTATATGATATATCCCATCTACCAAATTTTTTACCTTATTAATATTCTCCATTATAAGTGACCTAACTATAACTAGGAACTTTAAATTTAATTGTTTTACTGATGAAAGTCATCACTTAATTCTATCCATCTTCCTATTTTGATTCCTTCTCTACCTTTTCTACCGTCATATTATCCATTCCCTCTATTATATAATTAGATTAAACGGAATTTACATTTTTTCATTATTTTAACTCCAATGTCCTTTATAAAAAGTATCCCATCTACCAACTTTCTTACCATTTCTATATTCCCCTATATAAGTAATTTAACCCAAGCTTTAATAGTAGGCCGATATAATACTTACAAAAATTTTCAGATAACTCTATCCATTTTCCTAATTTGTAATTGCTATCTTATGAATCATTGTATGATCCACCTCCACTAAAAAATTAAAGGAAAATTTTATAAAATATAATTTAAATAAAATTTACATTTATTTCCCGTTAAATAAGATATCCCATCTTCCAAGTTTTTTACCATTTTTATAGAGTCCATTGTAAGTAACTTAGCTACTTCTAATTTATTTTAAAATCTAATTAATTCTATTACTGATAAAACCCATCACTCAATTCTATCCATCTTCCAATTTTTATTTCACTAACTTCATTGTGATTAATATATTCACCCCCTCCACTTTAAAAATTATGATTATAAAATGATTTTTCATTACGTTAAAATTTTCTTATAATTGAGATCTTAATCTTTAAAATATATATTCCATCTTCCAACTTTAATACCATTCTCATTATACAAACCTTCATAAAAGATTTATTTTTTACTACTGTAGTAATAATTTAATACTTCCAAAATTAATCGCTCAGTTCAAACCATTTTCCTATCTTTATATTTTCTCCTTTTGTACTGTCATATATTCCACCACCACTTTTATAATCATTATTACATACATCAATTCATATTTTTCTTTTTAATTTATCTTATAATAAATATTCCAGAGACCAATTTTTTTATTTTTCTCATACTCTCCTTCATAAATGACTTAACCATATCTAAGATTTAATATTAAAAACTTAACTCCCAAAACTGATGACTTAATTCAATCCATTTTCCTTATTTTATTTCAAATCCATTTTAAATATAGTATTATCCGCCTCCACTTAAAAATATCAAACAAAATAATACATTTCGACACTTTTATATATATTATTCCATTTTCCTATTCTTTAATTATTTTGATATTCTCCACATTAATATATTTAAGATTAACTGTTAAATATTTTAATAATTATATTTTACTCCCAAAAATTATTCATTAATTCTTTCCATAAACCTTATTTCTCTGTATCTGAAAAGTACAAACATATTATATTTGATAAATGATGATGAATATATTTACCTTTATTTTATTTAATTGTTATAATACAAGATAATTTTACTGATTTAATCATCTTTGTTGATTCAAACAATTGAAATTGATTTTAAGAATTTTTAAATATCGAGGAATATTTTATTTGGTTGAATTAAAAAAAAATTATATTTATTATATAAATATTAAAGAAATAAGAAATTAGTAATAGGATCCTTAAAATCAATTATAATTAGGTATTCAAGATCGAATCCTAATTTATTTTAAGAATTTTAATTAATGATATGATTTAGTGATATAAGGTTTGAATAGCTTCAAAATTAAAATATTATAATTAAATATATTCTATACATTTATAATAAATCTATTTATCATAATAAAAAAGATCAATAACAATAGAAGCAAAATGTTTTCATAAAGCTTTTCTTCATTCCAGATAATTCAAATAAATACATTATTTGAAATAAAATTAAAATGTTTGAATTAACTTTTCCCTTTTATCTATCTATCTATGGCTTAATGATGAATAAATTTTCCATCCGAAAATTTTCCCTTAATTAATCAGATTTTTTTCTTCTTTGTATATAACTTCTATTAATGCTCATGGTAATACAAAAATTTTGAATAAATTTAGAAGTTTTCCTAACTTTTCTTTTTTTTTCTTAATTTTATTTTTTTTATTAATCGCTGATGATCAAATATCATATTTATACATCAGAAAGTCTTGGAGATATCATATGTAAATAAGGTTAAGCATTAATAAAATTATTAGAATATCCACAATAATTTTATAAAAATTTTAGTTAAAATTGCTCTATCAAAATTAGAATAACTCTTCGAAAATCATTTGTGTTTAAAGCTTAATTTGAGAAAAATTCAAGTTTAAAAAATTAATAAATTGTCGTACTCAAACTGAAACCTCATATAATTTTTATAGGAGTAAAAAGGATTATATTTTGTATTTCTTTCTTAAAGACAAAGATATTAATAAGAATTCGAGATTAACATGATAATCTTATTGAATTATCCGACAAGTTAATATGAGTCGAACATGTTTAAACAATATAAGAATATTTATCAATTATATTCAAACTTGTTTAATTAATTAATAAATGCAGCCAATAAATTATGATTAAGTTCTCTTAACCTTTTAATGCTAACGCAAGCACTTATTTATTGATTCTAAATATTATGTTTAGCTACTTCCTAAATTATTGATTCTTTCAAGTGTAATTATTTTTTCAATTTAAGAATCCAAAATAAAAAGACCCTAAATATATTGTAGAATTAAATTTAAATTCTAGAATTCATTGGATTACAAAGGGCAAAACACCTATTCTTGAACAATTTGGATTTTAATATAAGGATAAAATCAAATATTTTTGTGCCAAAACAAAAGATTTATAACAACTTAAAAATTTCATATAAGGAAAAATAATCCAAAAAGACATTAATGATTTCTATTCTCCTAATCGTTTGTTAGGAATAGGTGTAACTTCTAAAGTTATAATTTTATCTAATTAAGGTCTATTTGGTTACTAAAAAGGATGATTAATCTAAATTTGCATCCAAATGTATTGACAAGCAGTATTTCCAGAAGAATGAAGAATATGTAATTTGTAATTGAGTATTATAGAATGCTCAATTTAATGAAATTCTCATAATGTAAAAGCTCAAGCATGATAATATTGTACAGTTAACAGATATTTATGTAGGAGAAAATACATTTTACCTTATATTAGAATATTTGGAAGGGAAAAGTTTGGATGAAATTTTCTAATATTAATAATCGAATTTTGAATAGGAACAAATTTAAATAATAATTAAAGTAATATTATTAAATATGAAAGTTAATTTTATAAGCAATAGATTATATGCATTCTGAAGGAGTTATGCATAGGGATTTAAAGCCAGAAAATATAATGTTTAAATAAACGAATAATCTATAATCCTTAAAAATAGTTGATTTTGGTTTAGCCACATTTTAAAATATCGATGTCTTTCCATATCCTAGATGTGGAACACCTGGATATGTTGCTCCAGAAATTGCTAACTTATAAGATATGTCTTTAAAATACGATGTGATTTGTGATGAATTTAGTGTTGGCTGTATTTTTTATAAATTGTACACTATTAATATTAATATTAAGATGTACAGGAAAGGAAATATTTCCAGGAAATGATTATAAAGAAATAATGAAACTTAATATGAAATGTGAAATTATTTTGGATACTCTTACATTGTACAATACTCCTCCTGAAGCTGTAGATTTGATATCTTAATTACTCAAAGTAGACCCAAAAGAAAGAATAACTGCTCAAAATGCCTTATAACATTCATACTTTTAATAACAATATCACAATAAAATGAATTTAATTCAATAATCGAATCTTACAAATTAGAATTAAATATCTCAAACCTAAAATTTCAGTCCAAAAGTTCTGAGTAAAAGTCTATAAAATTTAATAGAAGATAATGTTGAAGAAGAAGAAGAAAATAAAATTTAATTAAATATACTTAACATCTAAAATAAAAAATCATCTTTGTATTTTCAAAAAAATGCTTATATCAAAGAGAATCCTAATCCTCTACGAAAAATGAAAATATTTCACACCTTGGAATTTGGCAAAACAACTTAGAAAATATCTTAAATGTTAAATAATTTTAAACCAACTTTAATCAAGATTTGTGAGGAAAATGATAATGATATAGAAAATTAAGTCGCAATAAACAATATAAATACTAAAAACAACTTTATTAATAAGAGTTAAGTTTATGAGGCGATAAATTATATTGAAAAAAATATAGAGAAGCAACAGAATGAAAAAGGAATTTAGACATGATTTCACAAATGTCTTTATTTTATAATTACATATTGATTATACGATAAATCTTATTCTTTTTTCTGCAAAATAATAGTGAAAATTTGAATGGCAACATAGAGAAATTCAAAATAATTTTGAAAAAATTTGACTTAAATATGATATCTCATTAATAAAAAGTGAAATACCTGAAAGTATTTAAATTTCACCCTAGAATTATTTCAATATTAACAATTATGCTGGACTATATGAATTGGTTTTATCAATTCATAACAATTTAAATAAATATGTAAAAGCAGCTAAAAAAGTACGAAAAATTAATTTATAGCATCCTGATAAAATAAAAACTTTTTGGATCTTTAACCCTATAATATTAGTAAAGGAAGAAATATAGCATAAATTTAATCGGTTCACTAACTTAATATTATCGATTGTTAAATTTTTAAAGCGAAACATAAAATTAAATTTAATTATTTATAATTTTGATTTTCTTAACACTCACAAACTTGCAGTATAGTTCTCAATTTTTTTCTAGATTTTCAGATGTTTTTCTAAATTTTGGATTCTATTTATTAATCTAGATTAGGCTTTTACTTATCACTTAATTGGCTTAGTTAATTGTTTCAAAATTCACATCTTACTTATTACTAGCAATAAATCATCAAAAGAGGATTAATCAATAAATAGTACGATAATTTATGGTTCTAATGAATTTTTGATTATTAATAAATTTTAGGTATTAAAAAAGAAGTTTGTAAAAAACTAATTTTCAATAGTATCTAACCTAATTGTTCAATTTCTAAAAAAATTTATGATTTGGGTCTCTCAACATTGGAAAAATCTTGTGAATTAATTCATTTATATTAATTTATCCTTTGTAATTATTATTACATCATTTATTAACATCTATGACATGTTTAGACTTATTCTATTTAATCATTGAGAAAGAAATAATTGTTAGTATTTTGCTAATATAAGAGAATCTTAACTTTGCATACATTTTCGCTCGATTTATGTATTCAATCTGAATCAGAGTTATAGTTTATACTAATATTTATCATAAAATCATCCATCAAATAATGATAGGGGAAATTTCATTTAGTTATATTATTTGATTAATAAATTATTTATGTATAATTAAATCTTGAATTCAAAAGAATATTATCTATTGAGTTTATTTTATTTGATAGAAATAAGCGTCCACAGAACAAAATTTAGTGTACATTTCATGAAATGAATGTGAAAATATTTATTATCGAATTTTCTTATAGATATTTAAAAACTTGTATAAAATCAATGAATTCTTCATTTAATATTATTAACATGCTAATTTTGATTTCATTTTTCGCTCTGAAATTATTAGGTATTGGATTTGAAACTACTGAAATGAATCCTTTACATCAATAATTGAGAAAAATAATAACAATATAAGAAATATACAATCCCCAAGAGGTCTCTTTTACCTATGGTATATGGTCAAAATACAATCCTCTTGGAAAAACTAATCAGGTGGGTTTATATGGATTATTTGATGGTTATTGCTTTCATTTACACAATGCATTAGAAAAAGACACCTTAAGTTTAAATTTTATTTATTATGATTGTCTTGATAAATAATAGAAGACTATTAAAAAGATAATACAATTCATAAATGATAAAAATGAGCAACTAAAGTTTGAGATAAATATTGATGCTTTAGATTATGATGATATTTGGTATTTTATGCAAATAATTTAATGGCCATAATTAGATAGATTTGAACTCATAATAATAAAATAATAATTAGAATAAATTCATGAAATAATTTAAATGAAAAGGCCTTATAGTGACAAAAATTTGATTTTAACATTTGGGAGTAATTTAATAGTATAGCAAATGTTAATCAGTTTATCAATAAGTAACTCTAAATTATTGAATATTAAAAATGGTGATATATTCTCTTATTTTCCAGGTACTATTCGATTGTAAGAATATATTGAGAAAATTCTATCTCCAACAATTGATTTAATCGGTTTAGCATAAGAATCATATTAATCCTTTAAGAATTGTATTTGTCAAATAAATGAAAAAATTTAATTTGATGATTTTTAATTCTCAAATTTATAATAAATTGTTTACATATCCCCGAATTCAATATGTGATTCATTTGTTTTCATGGGCTGGGTTAAAATAAAATAAATATTATCAGAGGAAGAAGAGATAAATTATTAATTCCTTAAAATTAGTTCTATCTCTTAAAATTTAATGTTTTAGGATTAAAATATAATTCCTTTTCAATTATTTTATTATATCAAAGGAAATTAATATCGAATTGAAATAACAACTTATAGTTACTCATTTCCTGAAATATCTATTAACTTTTTAGAAAGCCCATATTTGATTAGAGATTATTTTATTATTGCAAATATAACATTATGGCATTATATAAGAGTTGAGTTAAAATCTAATAAATTTACTTTTGATTTAACATTTTATGAACATTAAGATGTCAATCATTTTCAAAAAGATTATAATGTAAACTAATTTAAAAATTATAAATTAAAAATTTTATATGGAAATTGTTAATAATAATAGTCAAAATTGAGTGTTGAAATTAAAAACTTCTAATTCTATAATTGCTATAAATAATTAGCTTATCAAAATTGTCATTATAGTTGTTTAACTTGTGATGGTCCAACTAGTGAAAACTGTTTATCTTGTTTAGAATCTTCTCAAAGAATATATCTACATAAATTTAAGGCTTGTATATGTCCTTATAATACAGTAGATGAAAATGGAATTTGTTAAACTTATAATGATTCTAATTTATCCCTTCTAAAAACAAATGGAAACAATAAGCAATAATGTTAATAAGGATATTTTGAAATTGAGAATGAATGTCAGAAATGGTAAAATATTTATGAATATTTAGTCCATCTATTATTAAAACAGATTTAATTACTTGTTTTGATTGCTTTCACAATCCAATTAATTGGTAGTTTGAACTTACATGCTAGAACACTTTAAACCTGCAGATAATTGGAAGTATTGAGGATTCATTGATTCCTGAAAGTATAGAAAAATATTATTTTGATGGTTCAAATCTAAATTATAGAAATGATTATCACATAACTTCAAATGAAAGAGAAATCAATAAAAATGAAAATATAAATTTAGAACTTGAATTAGTTTCAATCAACTTTAAACATTTTTGTTAGAAGTTATATTATTAAATTTCAAACTCAGTATAGTGTTATTTATGTAAATTAGAAAATTGTTTAGCTTGTTTGATTGATATTACAGGTGTAAAGTGTACTAGATGTGAAAATAGTTATATTCTATTTAATGGATCCTGTATTCCAATCAATTTTAACGAAAAGGATATACTTTGTCTACCTCCAAATTATATTTCATATTCAAGATAATGTAAATAATGCTTAATAAAGAATTGTGTATATTGTTTTGAATACTTAAGCCATGATTAAAACTTATGTTCTTTATTGTCTTCATATGTAATATATGAAAATGATTATAACAATATTAAAATTGGATGTGCTCTTTGTGAAGAACATTATATTTATGATTTTACACTAAACTTATGCATCCTTTTGAAACCCTAATTAATCAATTGTTAACGTTCTTATATTGATTTAGATAATAAAGAAATATGCACATTATCAACATAGGATGATTTCTCTATTGCACCTGAAATTCTTAATTGTTAAAAATATATTTAATATTGTGTATAATGTACATTGACTATTAAAAGTTAAATTTAATGTATACGTTGTTAAGATGATTTCATTGTAGAAAATAGTTAATGTTTTCCAAATTAGGAATATCAGTATCAAGAATATCAAATTAATAATCGTAAAAATTAAATCCAAAGCTTTATGCTTTAATTTATTCCAATATTAAATATATTTTAGTATTAGAATTATATTTCACCAAATTTAAATATAGATGAATATTGTAGTGCTGATTGTTTATTTTGTGAATAACATTCTTTTTATAATTGTAAACAATGTCCATTAAATTATTTTAAAAAACAAATTAAAGTTGAAAAAGGCAAAAATTGCTCTGATTGTCCTTAACTCTGTTAAGTGTGTAGTTCTAGATCTGAAATAGAAATTAAAGTAATTTTATACTTGATTTTAGGCATATTCAAAAAGTTTTGTAATAACTTAAGAGAATGCTGTATTTACAAAGAAATGTATTAAGCCTTATTTAGATTCTTCTATTTATTTCGATACAATTAATTATGTTGCTCGATATTGTTTTAACCAAGAATGCAACGATTCTTTTATGTTTAAATTCAAACATTATTCATGTGATTTGTCTCGATTTATTCGCAATTATGAAGAGTAAATCAATACTAAGTATTGCAATTCTATAGGAGTCAAATCAATAGATATTGATTTTGAATTAGAGATATAGGATGAACAATGCTTTCAAAATTTTCCTATGGAATTTTCGACTAAACTAAAAGAAAAAATTTTTGGTTTAAAATAGATTAATTTTAAAATGCACTCTTCTAAAAATTTTACTTTATACCCTTACTAATCAATCTTTTTTCAATTTTTCGATTAAGTAGAACTTAATAATTTAAACTTTATAATTCAAAATAATCAGAGTTTTAACTTAGAAAATGATTTCAATTTTATTAGTTTAAAATTGATTAACATTACTATTTCCTAAAGTTCATTTAATAATCTTGATTCATTATACTAAACTAAAAGTTTTGACAGTATTTATATAGCTAATTTTACAATTACTGATTCCCTGTTTAACAGTTCTTCAGTGATTAAAATTAAAAACTAAAATTTAAATGGCATAATTATAATCATTGGACTCTTTATATTTAATTCAACATTCATAGATTCTACTTTATTCTATATCTCTAGTATTAAAAATAACATATTTATCTAAAATTTTAGGGTGGAAAATTGTTTTTCACAAAACTCGTAAATTTTTTACTTTGCTACAGAGATTTTAGGACAGGTTTAAATTAATATAAGTAAGTTTGAAATCTAAAATAATAC